CTACAAGGCTCCACCTTTCAACTACCATAATAGGATTTCCCACCATCTTAACAGTCACAGTGAGGGCTAAGTTTCTAATACATAAAACTTGGTGGACACAATTCAAGCTTCAGGGAGTTTTGTGGGGACACAATTCAATCCACTACAATATGACTGACAGATGAGTAGCTAGGTGATGGATGATTGCTGCATCATGGTGGGCAGCTGGCTTCACAGATCCAGATAGAATTCTGGTGTCACACTGTCTGTATGTTGGCTGATGCAGGGGCTCCAGGTGGCTCCAGGGGGACAGGGTGATGTCGCCAGGCTGAAGTCAGAAGTGGTGAGATCAGTGATCATTCGACTATTAGACCTGAGCTGAGCTTAGATGCAGATGGAGAACTCCAGCCATTTAGAACTGATCGAAGCTGTGCCACATACTTGCTCAGGGTTGCTAGAGTGGATATTTACAGGGTTGGGGGCTGTCCATCATTCCTTTCCCCTTCCTAGAGCACCCCACTTTCCTTTATCAGAATTACCTGTTCCCTATTGTCACTCAGTCTACCTTAGTTATAATCAAGGGAACTGCAGTAAATCAGCCAAGGGTTAGACAGACAAATGAGGCCAGTGGTATGATCGTTCCNGCTCACAACTCCTAAGTTCCAATTTCCACAAAGTCCTAGGGCATGGACACAATGCAGCCAAGTTCCTTGCCAGTTCACAGAAAGGGTGATCTTTGCCCCTATTTCCAATAAACTCCCGATTTCTATCTGTGACCTCCTTAGAAGGGTCTTTCCAGTCCATATTTCTATCAGCATTCTGCTCACCACCATGTAACCAGTCTCTAAGACATTCCAAGCTTTCCCTCATCTCTTTGTCTTCTTCTGAGTCCTCCAAACTCCTCCAACCTCTCCTTAACTCCCAGTTCCAAAGCCGCTTCCACATTTTCAAGTACTTGTTATAAGCAACACCCCACTTCTCNGCACACAACAAGGTGTTATCCTGGAAGATGAGAGCTGCCCTCATCCGACAACCAAACCTGCCGGTGCCTTGGTCTTGGACTTCCCAGCCTCTAGAACTGTGAGAAAATAAACACCTATCATTTATAAATTACCCAATCTCAGGTATTTTGTTATAGCAGCACAAACAGACCTAATAAAGGACCTTACAGTAGAATGTGGTTACTAGAGACTGGGAAGCGGGGCAGGGGGCATAGAGAAAGGTTGCTTAATGAAGATGAAATTATAGCTAGATGGGAAAAATAAGTTTTAGCATTGTACAGTAGTGGTAAACATTTATAATTAATGATTTATTGTACATTCTCAAATCGCAAGAAGAGAGGAGCTCAAATGTTCTCATCACAAGAAATGATAAATTTTTGCAATGATGAATATTTTAACTACCCTGATTTGATCATCACACATTACATACATGTATTGAAGTATAACTCTATACCCCATAAATATATACAGTCAATAAATTTCAATTAAAAAATAAATAAATTTCTTTTTTAAAAAAAGGACCCTCAAAATACATGAAGCAAAAACTGACAGAATTTAAGGGAGACAGATACTTCAACACCTCACTCTCAATAATGGATAGATAAATCAGAAGATAAGTATGGATATAGAGGATGTGAACAACACAACAAACCAAGTAGACCTAACAGACAGATAATGAAACTCCCCCCAACAAT